TGAGGACTTGGGAACACCAGACACAGCTGAAGAGAAGGCGGGCTTGCCTCCCTGAAAACTGGAAAACAAACCACAGACTGAATGTTGAGATCACCCAACCCTTCCCAATAAAACAAAATGAAACAAAACAAAACAAAACAAAATAACCAAAACTGATAGCAGGATGTATGTTGTCCTAGCAAAAAAAATGGGAGTTCATCTCTGTGGAAAACAACCAGTCCAAAAGAATGTTACTAGAGACATCCGATCGGAGCAATCGAGAAATTCAGTACAATCCCTGTCAAAATACCAAGTTACTCCACAGAAACATACATATTTGTAAAAACCCTGAGATGGGCATGAAGCACAAAAGACCTTAAATGGTCATGGCATTCTTGAGCAGAAAGAACACACACTGGGGAGTAGACACCTGCATAACAATACTTGACTTCAAAATACACTACACAGTTACGATGTCTACAACATCATGGTACTAGGATCAAAACAGACAAATGGGCCAATGGACTAGAATAGGTAACTCCCCAAAAAGTCCACACATCCAACTGATTTTCCACAATGCCAAGAGCACACAACAGAGAATTTGGGAAAATGGAATATTTACATGCAGAAGAATGAAATGAAACCTTATCTCACCACATACACAAAAATAAAATCAAAGCTGGGCAGTGATGGCACAAGCCTTTAATCCCAGCACTTGGGAGGCAGAGGCAGGTGGATATCAGTGAGTTTGAAGCCAACCTGGACTACAAAGTGAGTTTTAGGAGAGTCAGGACTGTTACACAGAGAAACCCTGTCTTGAAAACAAAATAAATGGATGAAATTTAAAAAGTCAAAATGGAATACACACTTAAATGCAAAACTCAAACTGTGAACCTATTGGGAAACACAGGGGAAAGAAATACTCCATAATAGTGGCCAGGAGAAGGAGTCTGTGGATGTGATACCAGAAGTGCACTTAGCAAGAATTGACTAATGAGGTTACTGCAAGCTAAGAGGCTTCTCAAAGCAAACAGAGCATTTAGCAGAGAAAGAGAAAGCCTATAGGATGAGAGAATGTGTCTGCAAAGTATGTATCTAGTGGCAGTTAATATCCAAATGACGAACACTTCAACAGCAAGAAAACAAATTTAACAATTGTAAGTGGGTGAAGGACCTGAATAGTGGTCAATAGGTAGAAGAAAAGAATGTCCAACATAACCAATCATTAGAAAAAAATGCAAATCAAAACCACTATCAGATATTACCTCCTGCATGATAAAATGCCTATTAAAAATAGAAAATATTGTAAGTGTTGGTTATGACGTGGGAAAAGAGAACCCTCACACACTGTTGGTAAGAATAAACAGTACAGCCATTACGGGGAAAAAGTAGTTTCCTCAAAAAAGTGAAAAATAGAACTACTGTGCAATCCAGCTGCCTAACTACTGGGTATACATCCAAGGGATTCTCGGTCAGTACTGTAAAACGGTATCTGTGCGCTCCCATGTTTATTGCAACATTATTAAAAACAGCCAGGACACAGAATAAATCCAAGTGTTTGTCAATCAGTAAAAGGATAAAGAAAACACAATACATACACAATGGATACTCTTCATCCAGTTAAGTAAAGGAAATCTTGCCATCTGTGTAACATGGATGAATGTGGAGGACATTAAGTGAAATGAGCAGGCTGAGGATGTAATTTCTTTGGTAGAGTGCTTGCTTAGCCTGCAGGATGCTTTGGTTTCTACCTCCAGCATCACACACAGTACAAGCATGATGGTGCACACCTGTGATCTCAGCACTGCTATGGTGAGGTGAGAGGCAAAGACCGGAGAACTGCCTGCCAAGCCAGCTAGCCTGCACAGCAGCAGACACAGCAAGGGAGCGCTTGCCTCTACAAGGTAGAAGAAAACTGACTCCTGGAAGTTGTCCTTTGACCTCCACACATGAATCCACACTCATACACATCACACACCCATCACTTATACAACAACAACAATAATAAATAAAAATTTTAAAAACGTAAAGGTCACAGCCAGGCAGTGGTGGTGCACACCTTTAATCCCAGCATTTGGAAGGCAGAGGCAGGTGGATCTATGTGAGTTGGAGGCTAGCCTGGTCTTCAGAGTGAGTGCTAGGACAGGCTCCAAAGCTACACAGAGAAACCGGCTCTCAAAAAACAAAAACAAAATAAAACAAAAACAACAACAACAAAAACCGTAAAGGTCCTATCAGTTGCATTGCAAGTTAAAACTAGTATGGGCTACTCCAGCTTGGGGAAAAAGAACAAAGAGTGAAATAAACTTGGTACTGACTGAAGTACAAATACCTTATGTTCTCAGTCATATGTGGGATCTAAAACAATTGATTCATAGAAGTACAGGGTAAAATCCAGAGAATAGGATGGATAGTGAGGGGGAGTTGGAGATGATGTTGGCCAAAACATAAAAAATGCCATTGAAGGACTGGAGACATGGTTCAGCAGTTAAGAGCACTGGCTGCTCTTCCAGAGGACCTGGGTTCAATTCCCAGCACCCACATGGCAGCTCACAACAGTCTGTAACTTCTGTTCCAGGGGATCCAACACTCTCACAGAGACATACATGCAGGCAAAACACCAACGTACATAAAATACAAATAAATAAATTATTTAAAAATGCCATTTAGATGAGAAGAACAATTTCAAGACATCTGCTGTAAACATGGTAGTTAAACATGTGGTGTGAGTCTTGAAATATGTTAATAGAGTATTCCTATTAAGAATGATAATTATGTGATGTGATACATATGTTAATTAGCTAGATATAATCACTCCACAACACATACACACACATACACACACACTTCAAAGTCTTATGTTGTATACTTTAAATACAATCTTAGCTATTATATTTAAAAATAACTTCTAAAGATTTATTTGTATTTATGTGTGTATCTGTCTATGCCACGTGTGTTCAGGTGCTTTCTGAGGTGAGAGGACAGAGTAGAGTCCCCTGGAGCCAGAGTCACAGGAGGTGCAAAGCCACCTGGTATGAGTGCTGGGAAACAAACTCTGCCCTCCACAGGAGCAGCAAGTGCTCTTAACCACTCTCCAGGCTCTAAAAATATATTTGTAAAAAAAAATAACTTTTAGGGTACTGGGCATGGTGGCACACAACTTTAATTCTAGCATTTGGGAGGCAGAGGTAGGTGGATCTCTGTGAATTCAAGGCCAGCCTGGTCTACACAGTGAATTCAGAGAGATCCTGTCTTAAATAAAACAACAACAACAATGATAATAGCTTCTAAAGATTGAAGAGATGGCTATTAGTAACCTATCCTAGAGTCCCATTCTGAAAGCTATTTCACATAAAACATAAAACACATTTTCTTGGAGTAATACTGTTCTAGAGAGTTATAATAGACCCTCTCCAACTTTTTATACATGGGTGTTACACCTGCATGAATGTCTGTGCACCATGTGCAGGCAGTGCCTGAGGAGGTCAGAAGAGGGCATCAGATCCCCTGGAACAAGAGATGCAATGGTTGTGATCCTCCGTGTGGGTGGTAGAAATCAAACCTGGGACCTCTGGAAGAACAGCCAGGACTCTTAACCACTGAGTCATCTCTCCAGCCCACTCTCCAACTTTTAAATCTTTAATTACTCTAGAATAAAGTTCAATCTATGTACATTCATTACACACAAATTACATTTTGCAAACTTATTTCTGGAAAATAAACTTTAAGTTCCAGGTTGCAGGAGCGCCTTGAAACAACTGTTTTACTGTTTTAATGATCTTATGGGCTAGGAATTTAGGCAGGTCTCAGCTGGCTGACTTTTCTGCTCTGAGTGCCAATTGAGATTAGTTACTAGTATTCCACTAATGGATAATGCTGGCCTGCATGTCCAAAATGGCTTCCCTAACAACTCTTGGTCCCTAGGTTGGAATGGCTGGAAGACTGAGGTCATCTGAGACTATTGTCTGGAGTGCCTACACATGACCTTACTAGCATGGTGCTTTCTGGGTGGTGGGGGAGGCTGGACTCTGTCAGAACCACGAAAGCAGTATTCCAAGAGGTCAAAATTGATACTGCAAGCCTTCTTCACAGTTAGTTTCAGATATCATGAGGTGTTACACTTCTCCCATATTGAACAAGGGTCACAGGGCCAGGTTAGGTCCTAGAAAAGAGGTCAAAGGTGTGAACCCCTGAAGTCCTGGTTCATTGAAGGGCTATCACTTAAGACTAAGTTAATCTGTATAGATAAAAGCAGCACATTTTCCGTAGGATGTTATATTGACGAGTCACAAATTCAAAGAAGTCTACTATTTCCTATTACACATTTTGAATTATGGGGAGTAGAAGAAGCCCTGAGTGAGTGTGCAAGGAGAAGATGAAGTTCTGAGTGAGTGTGCACTACTGACAAGGACACCCATGTCTTAGATCAATAGGAGTTTGCAAAGCCATCCCTGGGTTAGGCTCAGGGAACTGGCAAAGCCTTCCTACTATCTGTGTGAAAATGTTGACAGTTCACAGAAGCAGCTTCCTCCTGGATCTTAACAGCTAGAAACTGCTCCCATACAGATACCTCCCACGGAGTCCAGCTAACCCCTCCTTCTCCCACTGGTCAGAATAAGGGCCTGTCAGAGAGAGAACAGCCTAACCAATCCCAGCTTTTCTGTATGCGTATCTGTCCTTTCTTCATTCCCTAGTTAACCCTAGTCAGGTTTCCAGGACCAAGCCATGAAGGACTCAGCAATCGTATAATTGTCTTATTTATATATGGAATAAAAACTGGGATTACCAAGCTTTAAAAATCAATCTTTAGAGGACTGGAGAGGTGGTTCAGTGACTCACTTGCTACTATTCCACAGGATACCAGTTCGTTTCCAGTTCCCACGCCAAGTGGCTCACAGAAACCTGTAACTCCAGTTCTAGGAATCCTATGCCCTCAACTGGCACCTGCACACAAGACATACACTTATAGAGACATATACAATACATACAAATAAAAAATAAAATAATTTTTTGTTCCCTCATTAAAGTATTCCATATGCTTTTATTAACATAATTGTTTATTATCACAAATAGTGGAGAAAGATCCTGCTTTTTACAAAGTATTTTTCTCTTTGGTTCTGTGATGACAGTTTGGAGGTGAGTGCTTCCATATCCGAGTGTGTATCATAGGTCTGAAAGCTGAAGGCTCTTGCAGGACACTTCCCTTTATGGCTTTTGTTTTTATGAGGTCTGAGCTTCCAAAATCTGCTATGAAGGAGGAAGAAGCAAGGATTGAAAGGTCACAGATGCAGTTGCTTTGCTTGGAACAGCACCCCAGAGTATCCCTCCCAGGCCCATCCATCTTTCTTTGCCTCCCATACCCAGGAAGCCTTCTGAGTCACCTCTTGGGCATTCTTTCCAAGTGGGGTGGGGAGACTTGGAGGTCAATGTTCTTAATCAATCATTCCTCAGATAGTATGAGTTGGGGAACAGGGGGAAACAAGGGGAAACTATGGAGTGGAAGATGAAATTCAGATAGGGACTACCACACTTCTCTTTTGCTTATAAGGAGACTAGGAAGTTATGGTTCTCACAGATGGTAATTTTCAAGCCTGAGGGTATGAAAAACTGCTGTTATTTGTAATCAAAGCTAGAGAGTTGAGTAGCTAAGTTTTTGTTGTTGTTGTTGTTGTTTTTTGTTTGTTTGTTTTTTTTTTTTTTGGTTTTTCGAGACAGGATTTCTCTGTGGCTTTGGAGGCTATCCTGTAACTAGCTCTTGTAGACCAGGCTAGTCTTGAACTCGCAGAGAGATCTGCCTGCCTCTGCCTCCCGAGTGCTGGGATTAAAGGCGGTGCGCCACCAACGCCCAGCGAGTAGCTAAGTCTTTGTAGGAAGCCAATGCTTGGATTCTCTGAGTTGTGACAATCTTAAACACAGGTGCCTCTAAGTAGCTGGACATATGAGGTTGTCACACAGATGAAATGGTCAGTCACAACAGACACCACCCAGACAGATTTTACTGAAGTTGTATGTTGTATACATTATTCTTAAATTAATGGCTAATTTAATTTTAAAATTGGGGACTTACATATAGACCTTCTGCCTTTTCTGGAAAAAAAGGAACTGTACTGTTGACACCACATTTTTCTGTGACTAGAATTATTAAGTCACTACTATCTTCAAATGGGCAGGCTATCTCTGGAAAGTCACAATCCTTTTAAAGTCAACTTTACATACTTAATGGCAGGGAAGGCAACTAAAATTCTCTTCCTAACCAAATCCTAGTCAGGTTACTCAGAGGCCTTTCTCTTAACTTTAGCTTGAAACAAAACCAAACCATCAGCATAGTTTTAACAGCTGAATGATACATCTCTAGGATGACCCCAGCTCCTTTAAAATTCCTCTGTCAGACCATTCCAGACTACCAAAAAATAGCATTGTTACAATGTCATGTGGTAGCTCTATTAGGAGAAGTGGCTTTGTTGGAGTATGTATAGCCTTGTTGGAGGAAGTGTGTTTCTGTGGGGGTGGGCTTTGAGGTCTTCTATGCTCAAGCTATGCCTAGTGTCATAATTCACTTCTTATTGCCTCTGGATTAAGATATAGAACTCTGGGCTCCTTCTTCAGCACCATGTCTATCTGCATGCCATCATGTCCCACCATGGTGATAATGGACTAAACCTCTGAACTGTAAGCTAGCCCCAATTAAATGTTTCCCTTTATAAGAGTTGCTGTGGTCATGGTGTCTCTTCACAGCAATAGAAACCCAAACTAAGACATGGCAGAAGATGGGTCCTCTGTGGGAGAGTTGGATCCTAGCCTCCAAAATCTGTAGTTACCAAACCCAAATGGATTCCACATAGACAAATTCCCATTTCCTACTCTGTGTATTTTTTTCATTTCTCTGACTCCATTGAGGCCCAGCTTATTTCCTTCTTTGCTCCTCTATTTTTCTTTTAAAATACCCAATTATCTCAGTACAAACCAGAGTTTAGTTCACTATCGGTTCTTTTCCAACTGCAGTAGCAAATGACTGACGAAACTCTGCTTAGAGTTTGGCTTTAGGGTCTGGCTTTATTTACCTTTGATGAAAGGCTAATAGTCAAAGAAACCAAATAACATATTAGATTTATTGTTGGCTTTCTTTTTCTGTTTTGTATATAGTTTTGTTTGTTTGTTTGAGGTAGGGCATCTCTACGTCACGTGGCCTGGAACTCATCATGTATGCCAGGCTGGCTTTGAACTTGCAATCCTTCTATTTTAGCCCCCAAAGCTCTGAGATCCTAACAGTGCATACATTTGTCTCCTTCTTTCCTTCAGGTGAACTGAAAAAAGAAAAGGAGGAGGAGGAGAAGAAACAAATAGTGACAGAAGATGAATACTGGTAGGAGCCAGGTCCCGTAGATTTTGGAATGTAAATGAAATACTTTCTTTTCAAAAGGAGAACCAATTCCTTTTGAAATCAGAGATAAAGATGACAGGATATAGATATGATGAAGAAATCAAATGAAGAATAATAGGACTGAAGAGGCAAGAAAGTAAGAATCTGGATAAACTGAACTAATAATAGACATAAGGCCAGATACAAACAGCAGGAAAAGGTATCTCTCTCAAGGACATGCTATATCCATAAAACATCACAGCCAATTCCTCCTTACACTGACTCTGGATTTCTTACTGAAAAACTTTCCTCTAAAACCACAGAGTACCAAAAACTGTGATTCCGAAGACCAGCAAAAAGAAATCCTTCCACTCATGTCTGGAGGATCACAGAAACAGCAAAGTAGCCTTGGTCTGAGGAGTTTCAGAAAAAGGGTATTCCCAAAACAACATTCCACATATGTGGTAACTTGGTCATATTCAAGGAAATGGAACTTTGGCCCACTGTTATCTAGACCTTTACTCAAAGTTCTGCTTTGCTCAGAGCCTCTCAAAATACTGGATCATTTAAATTGTATCCAAATCCCACACTTTCAAGGTTTGATATTCCCATCTTTCTCTATATTTCTAAGATTCTCCACTGTTTCTCTATTGTGAGCTCTCCTCCATTGCAGGAGACCAATCGAACTGAATCTATTGAACTCTGCATTTGTTTCTGGAAGTGCTAGAATGCTCTGGGCATGTCAGGAGTCAGTGGAGCTTTCCATAGTTCCATCATTCATTTTCCCAGAAAAGTCTGGAAACCAGAAGAAAGGTTTCTAACTTTCATTGAAGTTTTTTCCCTTGCAGTACCTCATAGCCTTTTCCACATAGTCTTCTGAAAAGAGAATGCTAAGGCATTTGTTTGTTTTTGCATGCAAGGGGTGGTTGAAGCCAGGGCTCCCTGCATTTTAAGCAAGAACTGTACCAGAGCTACAACTCCAGCCTCTGGAATGCTTTTCTTAGATATGTAATCCACACATTTATCTAGAGCCTAGATTCTAGACCCTTAAAGACAGTCTTAAGCAACCAGTTTCCATTCCTTTGTATTGCAGCTGAGCTAAGTTTCCGGGTGGTGGTGAAGTGGTACCTCAGATTCAACAAATACCTTTGGGATGCTGTGGCCCACCTCTGTGATGGTTGAACCCTAGGTAGCTGAAGTTGAAAAGTGAGGGGTTCTTCTTGCATCCCACCCTGATGTTCCCTATCTCTTCGGAAAGTTTTTTTTTTTTTTTCATTACTTAAAAGAAACTTCCCCTTTGTTCTGTCTCTCCAACTCACACTGAAAGGCGCGCGCGTGGGACGGGAATGGGAGAGTACTGCTGCACCCGGGCCATGCCCCACCCATAATTCAAATCTCTCCGGTTTTGGTAAAGCAATCTAAAAAAAGAAACAAAACCAACAGTGCATCAGTAATCATTTCCTCTCTAAGATCAAAATGAAAGCAAACTCTTCCTTTTAGAAATCTGGTGTCAAACTAAATTAACACCATTAAGTGGTTAAAACAAACTTCTCCATAGAAAAAGATGATAATTCCGCAGCGGCCTTGGCGCTACCCAACTTTGCAGGAAAACTTGGTCGGGAGCCCAAACCTGCAGCTGAGGTGGAGCCGGCGGTGGCCTGCGGCCCGGCGAGGACTATGATTGGTTGCTCGGCCT